AAGTCAACTTGGTATCAAAATCTCAAGATCTAAAGGGCCGTACGGCCAAGGTATCGATGACCTAGCTTTTTCTCTCATCTAATGAGCCTTGATGTGTAAGGATTTGTGGCATTGATTTCAGAATTTTAGAGGCATGGAGATGGGAGTTTTGTAAGGTTAGTTGGTTGTGTTTTAGGAATTTCAAAGATTTGGTTGAGGTCTCATGTTGATTGGTGGAACATGGAAGCTCCGGTAAGGATTTTTCTCACTAGTTATTGTGAAAAAGTATTTTTGGGATTGTTTGGTAAAAAGTTTCAATGACAATGTGCATGGGAGATGGTATTTGGTTTCTCTTGAAGGTGGTGTGCTAGTTGGGTGCCCAATAAGTGTTTAAGAAAAGTTTTGTGAGTGAAAAGTGTTCCTTGAAGGTGATGTGCAAGTTGGGTGCCCTCCAAGTGTTTGAAGAAAGTTGTGTGAAGTTGGAATTGTTGTTTTGGGCCCACTAAGTGTTTGAATTTTTTTTTGTGAAAATGAAAAGTGTTCAATGAAGGTCATGTGCAAGTTTGGTGCCCTCAAATGTTTGAAGAAAGTTGTGAGAAGTTGGAAATGTTGTTTTGGGCTGTGTAAACCCTTTGTGTGAAGTTGATAGTGTTAACTTGGGTTGTGTATCCATTTGTAGTGGTAGTTTAAGGATTTGATTTGTGCAAATCAGTCTTCTTTAAGTGCAATGGGTGATTCGGAAGTGAGGCAAGACCCCTATAACCCAGTGACTAGTGGTTGGAAACTGCACCTTGGACATGAGGATGCCCCAAATGTGCAAATCACTACTATTAAGTTGAATGATAAAAATTTCTTAGCATGGTCACAATCTGTTATGTTGTTTGTGAAGGGATAAAGAAAGATGTGGTACTTAAGGGGTATCATTCTTATGCCTGAGGAGACTAATAAGGCCTTTGACAAGTGGGAGACAGAGAATACAACTATCATGTCTTGGCTCCTTAACTCTAAGCAGGCCGACATTAGCAGTAACCACCTATTCCTTTCTAAGGCTAATGAGATATGAGATGTTGTCACCCAGACCTACTCGGAGGTGGGGAATGGAGCTCGTGGGGGCAGATTTGGTGATTGTATGGGAGGTTGATTTGGTGGTAGAGGCCACTCCATTGCCCATTTTGTTATCTCTACTACACATGGTCCTGTTGCACACTCTTCAGATGGTAGTGTATGCGCTTTATGGCTCAATTAGATCCTTCATCATCTGTACTTCTGTCTCGGCCCTCAGTGCCTCAACCTCACCACACAGTCACTCCTGGATAAATGATTTAGGTGCTTCCGACCATATGACTGGTATGTCTTCCCTTTTTACGTCATACCTTATCTGTTCAGGTAGAGATAAGGTTCAGATTGCCGATAACATTTACTCATCCATTGCCGGAAAAAGCAATATACCTGTTACTCCTTCTATGTCTCTCTCATCTGTACTTCATGTCCCAAATTTCGCTTTAAATCTCCTTTTTGTTAGTAACATTACACAACTGTTAAATTGTATTGTTACATTATTTCCCTCTCATTGTATTTTCCAGGACTTAGGGACGAGGAAGACGATTGGTACGAGACAGGAGGAGGGAGGATTGTATCTGCTAGACCCACAACCATGTGTTGCATTACCTGTCCAACAGATCATATCGGGTGCTCGACATATTAGTACTTAGGAGCAACTGCTACAGTGGCATCGTCGTCTTGGTCATCTGTCTTTTTTGTTACTTAAGCGTTTATTTGCTCAGTTGTCTATTTCTAGTTCTATTAGTTCTTTTTAGTGTGAGTTGGCTAAACATTGTAGAACTTCTTACCCTTCTCGTGGGGAACAAAAGTGACTCTTTTTGTTGTGGTTCATTTTGATGTATTCTTTCCCCAGTCCCCTCAGTGTCCTGGTTTTCACTATTTTGTTAGCTTTGTGGATGATTTCTCATGTACAATGTAGGTTTACCTTCTTAAATCTAAAAGTAAGGTCTGCTCAGTCTTTAAATCTTTTCGTGCCATGATTATTACTCAATTTGATGCGAAAATTAAAATTCTTATATCTGATAATGGAGGGGAATATATGTCTAGGGATCTTACCTCTTATTTTGATAGTCATGACATTATTCATCAGACCATTTGTGCCAGTACTCCTCAGCAAAATGGTGTGACTGAGCAACAAAATTATCACTTGTTGGAAGTGACCAGGTCTTTGTTATTTGATATGAATATTCCAAAGGTCTTCTAGTCTCATGCTCTTTTAACTGTAGTGTCTATCATCAATCGAATGTCATCTCGTATTTTGGATTTCCAGATCCCTATTCGGGTGCGATCGCCCTCTACGTGTTTGTTTCCAATTCCTCCCAAAGTGTTTGGGTGCGTGTGCTTCGTTCATATCGCTCATTCTGATCATACAAAGCTTGATCTCAAGGCTCTCAAGTGTGTATTCCTTGAGCCTGCTTCGAGTCAAAAGGGCTACCGATGTTATCATCCTTCTTCTCGTCGGGTATTTGTCTCTATGGATGTGAGATTCTTTGAGTCAATTTCATTTTATTCTGACATGAAGACCTCTCTTCAAGGGGCGTGTATCAGTGAAGAGATTTTTTTGAATTCCTCTACCAGTTCCAACTTCATTGCCTTCTGATAGTGATAGTGCTAGACAAAGGGAAATTGTTCTTACTTTGGAGATATATAAAAGAAAGAAGATAGAAGGTCATCATGCTTCCCTCCAAGAAGTCTCCTCTAATCCACCAGTCAAAGGTAATGTCCCTCATTTTAATCCTGAGTTAATTGATGATACTTCGCTTCTATTGCTCTAAGGAAGGGTGTTTGTTCTTGTACTCATCTGATCTCTTACTTTGTCTCATATTCTACTTTATCTCCTTCATATCGCTCCTTTGTCTTGTCTTTGTCTTTTGTGTCTATTCCTCGCAGTGTGATAGATGCTCTGTCTCAGCCAAAGTGGCGAGAGGCAATGGAAGAGGAGATGCGGACTCTTGAAAAGAGTAGCACTTGGGATGTTGTTGAGCTTCCTAGAGGGAAAAGACCAGTTGACAGCAAGTGAATCTCTACTATAAAGCAACTTTCATATGACTCAATTGATAGGTACAAAACAAGGCTTGTTGCTAAGGGTACACCCAGGCCTATGGTATAGGCTACCAGGAGACCTTTGCCCTCGCAGCCAAGATGAACTCTATAAGAGTGTTGTTGTCTCTTGCTGCCAACCAAGATTAGCCCCTATTCCAATTTGATGTGAAGAATGCCTTCCTACATGGTGACTTGGAAGAATAGGTGTACATGACACCTCCTGGCTTTATGAGTTCCTCAGCCAAGGGGAGATTATGCAAGTCAAGGAAGACATTGTATGGTTTGAGCAGTCTCCTAGAGCATGGTTTGAGAATTTTGCACTGTCATGTTGAAGAATGGCCACAAGCAGAGCCAAAATGAGCACACACTATTTATCAAGCATTCCGACCATAAAGTTACTATCCTTATTGTGTATGTGGATGACATTGTAATGACCGGGAATGACTATGATGAAAGCTAAAGAGTAAGTTGGCAGCGGAATTTGAGATTAAGGATTTGGGCCATCTGAAGTACTTCCTAGGAATGGAAGTTGTCAGATCAATGGAAGGTATCTTTGTCTCTCAGAGAAAGTATGTGCTAGACTTACTTGAGGAGACTGGGATGATGGGGTGTAAACTCAGTGACACCCCTATTAATGTGAACCACAAGCTTAGTGAATACAGTGGAGGAATGTCTTTCAAATTTAGGGAGGTACCAGAGACTTGTAGAGCGCCTAATTTACCTCTGTTTGACCAGGTCAGACATTGCATATGCCATCAGTGTTGTCAGTCAGTTTATGCACGCACCGGCCTCAAAACATCTGGAAGCAGTGTACAAAATACTCAGGTATCACAAGTCAACCCCTGGAAAATGATTAATGTATGCTAATTATGACAACTTACGGGTAAGCCTACACAGATGCAGGTTGGGCGGACTCTAATACAGATAGGCGCTCCATGTATGGGTATTGTTCATTTGTGGGTGGCAACCTTGTGACATGGAGGAGCAAGAAGTAACCAGTGGTAGTTAGATCTAGTGCAGAAGTAGAGTTAGATCTAGTGCAGAAGTATAGACTCATGGCTTCGATTACTACTTTTAGAGATTGGGGTTCCTGATCAAAGACCCATGAGTCTATACTGTGACAACAAAGCGACAATCAGTATAGCTTATAATCATGTGCAACATCATCACTCGAGACATATTGAAGTTGATCGTCACTTTATCAAGGAGAAGTTGAGATCGGGCGATATTTACACTCCTTTTCTGAAGACCGGGGATCAACTAGCGGATGTTTTGACCAAATGATTGGGGAGACCTCAATTCATCAGTATTATTAGCAAGTAGGGCATGAGAGATATCTATGCACCAACTTGAGGGGGTGCAGATACTATTTTGGTCTATTGTACCTTTATGGTATAGTAGACCTTTGGGTGTTACTATGCTAGAGTACATGTAGTAATGGCATACTTGTAATATTCATATCTAGATTTTTATATAATCTAATGAATGAGAGAGAATAGTTAAGCTCTCTATTCTTTCTTTTTCTCTTCTTCTTCTTCCTTCTTTCAAACCCTAACCCTAAACTAAGCTAATCAAGTCAACTCTTCCCTGCAACAATGAATAATTGTAACAATTTTGCCTCCCGAAGAAGATGACTACTCTTGATTAATAAGTTTGGTTGACGAAAATCATCCCCACTACTTTTCTAATTCGTAGATGTAAGGTCTATTAGCGAATTTTGTAGCAAAAACTGTGTCAAGTTATAAGTCATGAGTCATGTCTGTCTTAGTGTGAATTGTTCGTGGATGAAGTTTGAAGAGGTTCAACTGAACAACATCACGACCAATGCTTTGTTCTCATCAACTTAGGATGGTAAGTGACCTAGACACCCTAGCCAATACCTTAGGTGAATTGACCTACATAAAATACCGGAGCTGGCAAAAATAGCTTAATGATAGAGCATAGCCTTGCCAAGGCTGAGGTTGAGGGTTCAAGTCCCTCCTTCCGCTCTTGGCTTCGTCGTTTAGTGGTAACGAGTGGAGTGTATAAGCACTCCACAAGTGGTCCCGGGAATGAAAGCCCATTCCCTCGTGCTCTGGAACTCCTTGACTTCGGTTGAACAAAAAAGGTTCAATCTTGTGAAACTGTTATGCCTTAGGTAATTAGGGTCTTCTTTTTTTTATCAATAAAACATATATTAATCAAAGAGAGCTACAAAGAAAGTGTTTACAAGATTGCAAACCCAAAGATGAAATAAAAGTACACATAACAAGCACGAAAGTAAATTACAACGTAAGGGTCCTTGGTGTTTAGGTGGTGTGCTGTCACCCTAGAATGACTCTTAAATCCTCTTCTTCCTGACGAATGCTTGCCCATTCTAAGACCAATAAGAGTATGCGGGAGCAAATGCGATGAATGGAGGAAAGAGAATTCTCAAAAACTCTCTAGTTTTGCTCTTTCCAAATTGCTCACGAGATCGCCCCCGGAAGGACCGCCCAAACTGCCTTCCGCCGTTCCACGCACTATCCTCACTAACCAAAACCCAGTGGGATAAGAAGCTATGAAAGGACGAAGGGAAGACTTAATCCACCCCTACTCGGGATAGAAAATACCCCCATTTCACACCCACTATAGGGTAATGCAAAAACAAATGATTCACCGTCTCTTCTGCGTGAAGACACAAAAAACAACAATTAGTCAGCCTCCATCCTCTAGATTTTAAGTGATCACAAGTAAGGATTTTATTCGAAGTTGCATTCCATAGTAAAAAAGATACCTTAGAGGGAAATCCTAGATTCCACACAATTCTATGAGGAAAATGTGCATAAGGAGTTGACCCTAGAGACTGTAGTAGTGATCCAACTGAAAATTGACAATTGTTGCCCCTGGACCAAGTTCTGACATTTCTTTTCTGAGGCCTCAAAGAGGTGGATCCAAGATGCAGAAGAAGACTCAAATCTTCAACTTCCCGGTCATTGAGCCTCGCCTCGCCTCAACTTCAAACACCACACCACCCCCAAATCCTGCAACTCAAAACAATCCCTCACTAGAGTGTCCCTATCAGCCGCTAGAATGAAGATATTACCAAAGTCATCCTTTAGTCTTGTAAAACTGCATCAAATGTCTTTTCAAAATCTAACATCTGAACCCATGCCTACTTGATAGAAAAAATGCGGCACAAATAAATTGGCAACTACCATGATACTTTTCCACAAACCTACCTCGTAGGTAGATTTGATCCCTCACGGCACCCAACAAGATTCCACTCCATATTTGGCCACTATGACATACCGCCATAAACACCCTTGATCTTTGATAAGGAAATATCAGTCAAAACTCAATTTGGCATAGGTGCAGAGCATCTTCGCTCAAGCGAAAACATTGGCTCGAGTGTAATGTATCTGGTTCAAGCGAAAGTGGAATTCTAGGGACCAAAGAATCTGTCTGAGACATTTATATCTCTCAGGGTTTGTATCTCGCTCGATGAGATCAGAGTGGCTTGAGTGAATGTGTAGATCCAGTGAGCAAGGATTCTGACTGTGCCCTTTCTAAACTCTCGGGGTTTTGTCATCTCGCTCAAGCGAGAACATGTTGGCTCGAGCGAGTGCCGAAGAGTCAAAATTCAAAAAACAAAATTGGTTTTAGGGTTCCAAATAAATACTCATTATTCCCTATAGCTAAAATAAGGAGATTATTCTTTAGGAAACCTAAGGTTTTGCACTCTAACTCTCTGGATCTGCACATGAGATTTCTAATTGTTGAGAAATCCCTCTAGAGATCTTCAAGCCACTCATATAAAATCTCAAATCAATGTGTTGGTTGGTGAGAACCAAAGCCGTCCTTGACGGAGATCGATCATCTAGATCGTGGTTTTTGGTGACTAAGAGAAAACTAGGCTAGTGGGGAACCGGAACCGCTGCGGTAGAGAGCGAGCTTGTGAGTTTGTGGTTTGACAATGCGGGAAGGACTAGTTACTGGGGATCGTTGTGTCGAGTCTAGTTAGGTACAATTCAAGTCTTGTAAGTTGTTTACCTTTCTCTAAATACATATTTTGCTGGACTAGGTCTTGTGGTTTATCCCAGAATGTGTGTTATGGTTTGTGAATTGGTTAAATAATTTGGATTGAAAAATTGATTAGAATAATAGAACCAGACCTATTTACCCTCCTCTAGGTCTTGTGAACTCATATTGAGGGAATTTCAGTAGAAATTGAAGTAATTCAAAATGTTAGAGCTCATAAAGTGTAATAGTTAAGACATCACAACAACATTCCCAGCTTCACGTTTTTCATAACTCTGATGATTTCAAGACATCTAAAGTGAATTTGCAGTCCATAAATTGCTGTGTAGATATCAACCTTGCCTGACTTTCCAAGGGTATCACAAGACCTTCTTTTAAATGTATTCATGAACATATCCTCAAGTTATCCTTTAAATGCATTAGAAAATGAAAAAGGAGAATGGAAGCGTATATACCATAAGTATACCTGGATTCCGGATTAACTCCTAACTTCTTAAAGTTTAGGGAAAACAGATTAGTGATGTGCAGGGTTACAGGCTAGGGTAAGGATGATTTTGAGAAGCTTTTATGTAATAGGGGGTAGATTTATGAAGAGTATGACTATGATCCAATGATTGTTGGTTTCATTGTTGCATAGACCAGCAAAGGGGTAGTTTTAAGATTCAGCTATGGTGGGTTTGGGTTGAAGGAGTATACATTGGACATATGGACTATGAGAGGGTCTAAAAGACATAAAAAGAAATTTAAAATATAGGAGAGTGGAGAAAATAGGTATATGAAGTGGAGTCAACCACTTTAATAGAGGTCAGGGGTTGGAGTAAATCTCACGAATCTAGGATTCCACGAGATAAAAATCAGGCTGCGAGGAAAAGAGCCACACCTTACAGAAACAAAAATCACAGCATCCTATAATTAAACTAAAACTTCAATTGTAAAAGTAAGTGATTGCATGTGCATTTGTAGGGGTATGGTGCCTGCTCCTTTCTTCTTCACAACTGAACTAGAAAATAGAAAAATCTCGAAAAAACACTTGCTTCTAAAACGGAACACTTACTGACAGATTAGCTTTACTTCAAGTAGGAGATCATGTAAGATCCCTAGGATTTGCAAAATAGAAACACCAAGGGACTTATTATGAATCATGTTTAAACCATTTAAAGCTCAATTTACAAGACTAAAGGAACTCACATTTTGGAACTGACTAAAGACAACTAGAGAATCAATTTAGGAACTAACCTAAAACTTAAGAAATACATAAAAGGACCAAGTTTAAAAACAAAACCAAAATGCCAAAAATAGTAATCCCATCATGAACCTGCACCTTGTCCATATTTTAGCTATAAACTGCTCAAATGATGTCTGAATTGCGCAATCTTTGGGCATGTGGATAGCCAATGGAATAAGATTTCAACAACACCAAATCGAGGTAGTCCAGGTGCTTACTGACATGAAAAGAAAGGTGGTCATAGGTAAAGTAACAGGAATATGATCATGTATCATAGATCTCGATCCTACACTTCTACCATTGTGATCCATGTGCAACACGTGCTCTTGTAGCAATGTTTCCAGCATCTGGCCAGTGTGGCAAACATTTTCTTTCTAATGAAAGCATACAACATTCAAATGTTCACTCCCTATCATGGGAAACTACATTATATAAAAAAATGAATAGTAATATAACAACCACACAATAAGTTCTTTGACCTTTAATAATAAGGTGTTGGGAGTACTGGATAATCTTCTCGTTTATAATGACAACTTGTACTTGGATAGCATAATGAAGATTTAAAATTCCCATTTCTTGGAAAACAAAGCCAATCCATTTAAAGTACTTTCATGAAGATTTGACAACATAATAAATTGTGTGGATAAATTAATTTTGATATATCTTTTCAGATCATAGTTGCCAGAGCGAGAAGCGAAAACGAGAAGCAAAGCGAAAGCGAGAAGCGGGAAGCGAGGCTAAAAAAAACCTTAGGAAACAGGAAGCGAGAAATGAGATATATTCTCCTCATTCCCATTATGTTATTATGAGTAGCTCTATATTTGATTTAATCTTACATGAGATTTTTGTGAAAAGTAGATGCCTTGAGTTCCAAACCGACGATACTTGCTTAGAGTCTACACCCCTAGGCTATAGACTATGGTCTACTCCATCACTTCATACATATAGCTCCCTTTGATCTTAAATGAGACGTGATGGAAACGAGCTTCCTAAGAAGTGAGTCCGTCCGAAGAAGCGAGCTTCCTAGGAAGCGAATCTATCTGAGGAAGCGAGTCTGGGAAACAAGCTTCCGACTCTGTACATAGCTTCCCTGCAACTATGTTTCAGATCCATGTCCATATGAAAGTACCTCTCTGACTACATAAATGTGGAGGAACTATGGTGTTGAGGAGAAGTAAAGCCACAAAACACCGCAAAATTGTGAACATCTAACAGAAAATAATTGACAACAACATCAGACTAACTTTACATACCTTCAAAGGCCTTATTTTCTCTAGTATAGCAGCTAGCTTCAAAGATATTAGGGGAGGATTATACACCTGGATGAAGAGAGAAATCAAACAAAGTGTTTGATAAACAATGGATATATTAAGACAAGATATAACTAGTAACTGCATGAGTTTTATTATAACTAACTTAAATAGGAAATATTTTCTTTCTTGAAAAAGTAGGCGCTCTTCAACATGTTCGGAAGAACTAATCTTGGACAATTATTGTAAGAGTAGAGGAATTTATGAAGTTAGACAACAAAGATAAAGAAGATGAAAAGGAAAAACGAAAAAAGATTCTGTAGTTTTTCTTCCTCGTAGATATAGCCATATAGGCACTACACCATCTGAACCTGTTTAAATATTCCCATGACTATTCTTCAACAATGATGCCTAAGTAAGTCACTGATACCTCTAAAATTGGGACCAGGTATAGTTTAGGGCTGTGGCATGGTTAAATCTATAATACTTATATTAAAGTGGCAGATACTATTCC